TCTAATCTAGGGAAATAACCAAGGAAAATTGCCTACATAGCCGTGCCTACGCTTGCGACCCTGGAAAGCGTACTGGTAAAAGTCAACTCCTACCAATCGCTATCCCACCCTTTGAAGTTAGATCTTCCCCGTTTATGTTTTCAGCTTGTTTGATCTACTTATGTCGAATACCAGCGCTCGATTGGAGCGACGGCCAGCATTTGACCCATGGGAGAAAACCTTATGGCCCTGGTTGGCTTGGTACGGTGTCTCGAATTGTGTCTAAATGTTGGAACCCTTTCTCTGTGAGATTTCGGTGCCCTGCTCCTAATGTTCATTGATCCTTCAGATGTTTGGTAATCTGTGCCTTTAAATACATCCAGAAGAATCAAATCTTCTTCGTTGCATGGCCTTCTCGTTTTCCCGATGTGGCGGTGAAAATTGCGTTCTAGGCCTCACACGAGGTCACTGTAATCCAGGGGCGCTATAGGTGAAGCGGGGATAATGGAGTACATTTGAATGCTGCTACATAGTCTAGGAGGTCGGTACTCGGGTATTCTCCCCGAAGGAGCTAGACCTGTCGACTCTCGGCAAGGTTCCAAGGACTAAGTAATTTAATCCCTAACGGCGGCTACTCTCATATATTTCGATATCCATCGTCGTTCATATTCACCAGTCTTAACCCACAGGTCGGGAAGTCTACACAGTCAAGTAGGCTCCGAGACCAAAGTCTATTATTACACAATTCAAAGCGCTACATTTACTTGTTGCGTTTCCCTCACCTTGTGCAACAAAACCCCCGTTTGACACAACGCAGGACCGCCCAACTCACGTCCAGGCTAATTAGTAACTCGGCAGGGTCTTCTCGTTGTTGCGGCAGAGGATGAATATTGATGTGGATAGAATTTATGCGGTGCATTCTATACTTCATTTGATATTTCATCGAAATAAGAATCAACATCGAGGGACTAAGTGGTGGAAATGGTTGGCGATCCTGAAACGAGTTACCTTGAAGCTCGCCAGATCTCTCGACGGTCGGCAGCCATTTGGCAGTGATGAGTCTCCTGCTGATCAACATAGACATCATTTGGTGACATATCTTATGCCGAAGTGCTATCAGTAAGTTAGGAGAACGATTAACAGACAATATTTAAATAACCTCGCTTCATGCGACATCGCCGAGGATACTTGCTGATTTAATATCCAGAGCATTCTCCGCAGTTGTTGCCGATGGACAGTTTTCTACTCTGGGGACAGTCTTGATTGCCACCCTTGCCCGTTTGGCAAAAGCCACAGGGATCGATAAGGAGCTGAGATTGTCATCACAAACAGAAAAGGCTTCTACTGGCCCCATCTATGGCACCGATGCGCAACGAAGAGAGGATATGGGAGTCATCCTCTGTCGCCCTGAAGGCTCTTCAACACCAACGCTGCTATCTGGGACTCAAGTTCCGGAGATTTCACGTCGAGCCCATGATGGGGTGTCTCTAAAGGCTCCAGAAAGCACCGTAGGCTCAAAAAAGAAAAGCATGCGAAAGAAGAAGCGGAAAAAGGATGCCATCGATGATCTATTTGATAGCCTTCTATAGGTGCAAATAGCGGCTCTCGCTGACATGTCTTGAACGGTAGCTAGTAGATATACATCCTAAAGAGCATAACCTATGTATGCAGTATTCCTATCTTTCGGCTTCGGCTCAGTAGAATCCCTCCATCTGCTTTCATACTATAACAACTCCACTGCTGAATGGTTCGCCAGTTTGGATGATATTAGATGCAAGACCTCGCCAAGCAAGTTAACGGCCAAGTGGTTGAGGATGGCCCACGCCATTGCATAGAGGTACTTGGGAGAGAAGACCGTCCAGATGAAAAGATGCGACCTCAGGATCGTGCATGCAGCCATAACCGACATTAATGTGGCTGCCATGTGGAATGTGAGAACAGCCATGTGACTCTCTCTTTCATGCCTAGCCTGGTTTAGCCGGAGAGCCTGAGCAGCTGATACCCACCATATTGGCCCTGCCCAATTACTTATAAATGTTAAGATCCCAACCAAGACGACATTGTAGGTGCCGATGCCATTATATGCATTGGAAAGGTCGACTGTGGCTATTGAATTCGAACCTCCAAATGCGAAGAAGGTCATATACTGCGCGATCAAAGATGTGATAGCTAGCTCGAGGGCAGAAAGATTCATCGTAGCAAGTATATTTGCATGGGCCCTGAGTATTAGAAATATCGGAATGTTCGTAGCTCGTGATTGAGTTACCAAGAAAAGGGTGAGGGCGTCATGGAAGACGGTACTCGGGACCACTGTTAAATGTTAGCCGATATCCGAGGCGCGATTGATCTCGACTTGCCTCTCGTCTCACGCAGTTGCGGGGTGTTTCTGATACACATTGATAATGGAATGAGAAACATAATCCCGATTACGACCAGCCGCGTAAAGAGGACAGTAGACCCTCCATCGAACACCCTCTTCCAAAGGACAAGCAAAGCTTCAGGGAGAAGTTCAGGGGAATCTGATGCCACATATGACAGCTTCAACAAAAGTGCGCTCAATGCCATTGTGACACAACATAGCTGCCAAAGCTTTGATAGGCGGTGGGCTAAGAGATGCCTACAAGTGTTGGCATATGTTAAGATAACGAGAAACCAGAGTATTAGCCGATGGGAAGGGAAAAATGTCCGAGCGATGTCTGGTTCAGTAGCAAATTTCTGACCAGTTTGGTTCCAGCGCCTCAGAACCCTATGTGATAGCAGCAGCGCCAACGCACCAAAGTTGGAATAACTCAAATCATATAGGCGATAGAATCTTGTATTCCTCTCCTGGGAGGGCATGGAGCAACGTGGAAGAATGGATGATCTTACATGTAGGCAAAATACCCATGCAGTAAACATCCAATTCCAAAATTGTTGCTCTTCCTCAACATAGCTACTAGCGAACATCATGCCACCGTAGCCTAGGAGACACAGTGCAAAGAATGCCCCAGCACACCAAGACTTACAGAGCAGAGTATAAATCGTAGGGAGAGGAAGCAGGACAACGAAAGAAGTGATGGCTAAGCCCAGAAGAAGATTTCTGAGATCGTAGTCGCTAGCTGCGCTACGAATTACCTCCTGTGCATGTTTCAAGAACACAAACAAGGCTGACTCAAGCTCGGAATAAAGGTCATTTTTGTCGGCTCCGCCGGAGTTTTGAAGCAAGATATTGACCCGAAACCATGCACAGAGCGCCAGATCAACGCCGACTAAAGGCCCGCTATCGCAGGCGATATTCATCGAGTTGATATCGAAACTGCGGTTAGGAAACATCTCCGTCATCTTTCTCAATATCTGTCGGGAATTTGAGAGTAACACGTCAATTCTTTGCGATCCTGAACCGGCTATTCATAAGTATGCTGTACATTTGCACGCACTAGCAAGGAAGGTGTGCACATACTCGTTTCCCACAAGTCGAGAAGTTCTGGGATAAATACACCCAGACTATTCAATGGTATCGGTAAGCCTAAAAGCCCTGCCAGAGTTGGAGTTATGTCTGTTTGATCAACGGTTCGGTAATACTGGAAGTCGCTGTGCGAGTCTGTCGGAGACTGTCTGAGGATATCCAAGGCTTGAAACTTAGGAGAAATAAAGAGCAATGCGGGCGATGTCTCACCCACGGATGAGCCGCCATGATTTCCGGCATCGTTCATCCCATGGTCACCACATAAGACAAAAAGAGTGGACTGCAAATGTTGTTGCTGCTCCATGCTGGTATATATATTGGCAACAATGGAGTCCATCTCCTGTTGCTTTGTTGTCATGTAAGGGCTATGTAATACTTGTTAGCCCACCCCGAAGCCAAAGGCTGGCTGGTCCCTTACCTCTGAGGACCGGCTTTATGTCCAATGTGATCTAATCCAAGGTAATGCATGATGAATGCTGACCAGTCGTCACGGGAAAGCTCAGTAGAGACGTGACGAGTTACGTTATTGTCCACTTCGATGAAGTCCTGCGAGAACTAGCTTAGCTCTCCCATTGGATGCACCAATTCGAAGCCCGTTGGCATCTACTGACCGACACAAAGAAACTTGTAGTACCGTCTGCTCTTTCAAACATCCCGGGAAACAGTTTGAGCCAAGTGTCATCACCATACATGACAAGCTGGCCTCCATTTGCCTTCAACTGTGCCAACCAAGTATCTTGATATGCTAGAGTCGATGAAGTATCGGACTCGGCAATATTCAGGATTACATCCAGAAAAGATGGTTTTGAGCCAGTTGTTATTGCCTTGAGACGAGGCATTGTAACAGTTGGAGAACTAGCATAAGCAGTAAATGGCAGTGCAGCTCCTGATCGAATCAGGCTATAGGAACATAGGTTAGACAGACAGCACCTCATTTGAGATTTACTATTGCTGACCTTTGGGTGAATAGAAACCCGGAATTATTAGAGTAGACAAAGTCACTGAGTAAATTCAGCTGGAGGCACGAAAAGCCGGGAGCACTTCGAAACATTCATACCTCCTTAGAGCATCGATGACCATGAAAATGACCTTGTCAAAAGCCTTTGGAGTTGCAGTGTGGTTGCCGCCGTCTTCAAATCTTGCAAGTCCTGGTATCAATGGCTTATAAGGGAAAAACCCAGACGAAAATACTAAGACTGCTAAGGGGGTTAATACATTGGCGATGATGACCGCCCAACTTCGTGGTAGGATGGCCATTGAGTGTCTATTCTCCTCTGAATAGCCTGCGACAACCCAAAACCAGACATCCGAGGTCACAACTTCATATGAGGTGCGGCATTCAGTTTATGCTATGACTACTAGTCGTAATTGCCGTCGTCCAAAGGGGCAGTCGTCTATATTGATACCATATACCGCCTACTATATTGGGACTTGTGGGGTTATTATCGGGCATCTAGATAGCACTTCATAGTGGGTAATTCACGGACATTAATGAGGCCGCGCTACTTTGTTCTAACACTGCATCTGCTGATGCTTTACAGCTTTAGCATACAAGGTTTGTATCACGCTCGTGCATGGCAGATGATGTTTCCTTGAGGTCTTCAGCGGAAGTCTTGAGCACCCGCTTCGAGATAAATGGTAGCCATATACTAATTGGCCTTGACGAAGCTAAGACTATGTTCATATAAACTTTCTACGGCTGAGATACAGGGGATTAGATGCGTGAAAGCATCCACAGATGATATCGCTCGACTTCGGTCCGGTCTTCCTTTCCTAAAATGCCACAGGGAAGCAGAAACAACCAAGACAGTGGTAGTTATATGGCCACCTCTCCCACAGAACGCCAAACTCCATAATTGAACAGAGGCCCGACTATTTCACCATAAATGAAGCAAAACACGCCACGCGTTTCACCGTCTCTTAGTATTTCCTTTGACCTTTGATGGATGAGGACGGAAAACGATGGACGAGCGGGCTTTCTTATGACGTTTCTGAATTCGTCCCGACTTCCTGGTGTGAGCACGGCCACCCTTAGCAGTTCCTTGATCGATATCCATATCTGTGACAGAGCTAGGTTAGCAGGGGGCGCTGGCATGAAATGATTGGCAGAAACAATAACAAAATCGAAAAAAAAAACCCGATTGCACCTAGCTTACCTCCAGTGGAATTCAATGCGTTGCTAGCTTCTTTGTCACTGTTGTTGTCTGAGTTGCACATAACGCGTCAGCTGTGGTTGGAATATCTCGAGGAACTTTCACATACTTGTGGTTGCATCATCCAGTTCCATGCTTGACTTCTCCTCGTTCGGCCGAGGCTGAGAAGCTAGCTCTTGCAGCTTCGCAGAAAGTCTTTCGGTCCTTGCATCAACAGCTGGTCCGAAGACTGTGGCTCGGAGTTTAGCTCTATTGCGCTTGGTAACACTCGCCCGGACGCTCTTTGCCATGGTGCTCGTCAACAGAACCGGAACGGCCAACGAGATTATGGGTCAGGTAAAATATGTAGAAGGCAAATGTAGCGGTGTTGATGATGGATACTATGTGGAATCTGGAATCTTCATCCAGAGATCAAGCGTGTGTAGTGCAAAGTTTTTTGCAAGATTCGCCGCCTCTATTTGCCGGTTTGCCTTTTTTTTTTGTTCCACCACTTTTTTTTTCTTGGGAGGGGACTTTGTAACATAAGCGCGGTGGATAATCTTATGTCATCACATTGAGAGGCTCTTCTCACCTCCGCAATCGCCGCCGGCCTGGTCGATCGTATAGGTTGTCATTAGCATCTAGCTCACTCAGTGCCTTTTCTTGTTATCCTTTGACGGCCTCAAATATCCCGTCAAATCAGGACTTGAGAAACTACATTCCCCCATCTCCATCTGTTCAACTTCCTGGAGTATTGAGATGTCTTTGAACAGCGTTGTTCAGCATAGCGCAACTGTCTTGAGCCATCTTTCATCCTGAGATAACGCCTGCATGCTCATTTAGTCACTGGCTAGCATTCTTTCTAAACCCTAGTCATGGCCTCTACTGGTCAATTACCGGACACACAAAGCCTGGTTGCCCTAGTCAAGACATTGACCAACGCGCAGCTCAAGGATATCCTCAGGAACGAAGGGCTTGCTGTCTCAGGAGTGAAAGCTTCATTGCAGCTACGGATCATTGACTGTAAGTTGTACCTTGTTTTATAATGGCTTATGTTTTCTAGGCCTCGTCCAAAAATAATATTTACGAAGTTGTTAACTCTTATTGAATCACTATAGACATTGAGAGACTCAACCAAGGAGGCCATGTTGAACAGTATGATGACCTGAGGAAATTCATCTATGCCACGGCACGTCGGCCAATGCCTACGTCTCCAACCACGCAAGCATTCTCCAGCCAACACTATCAACCACATACTGTCAATCAACCTTTGCTCACGCAGCATAGACCATCACCTTTGAGCATACCAATGCCATCGCATGGACACACATCTGGTACCCACTTATATGTTCGTTTGCTCTGAGGCCGGGATGGTTTCTGACTTTCATACAGGTCGTTTAACTTTCAAAGACAGCCCATTCTATACCATCATAGAGCCATTGACTTCTGCCTCGGAATGCAAAGGTGGGACACTGGCAGTCAATTCCTATTTCGATGACAGTTCACATCTAATAATCCTTCCAGTACGCGAACAAACTAGGGACAGTGTGGAACTCAAAGTTATTCTTACACCAACCGTAGCGACTAGGCTACAGGCGGATCCCAATATTCGGGTGATGGTGTATTGTGCTGCAGACACGGGTCTTAATCAGTATACCAAATCTGACATCGCATTTCCTCACCAAGTTGAACTAAAAGCCAACCTGGATGAAGTGAAAGCCAACCTAAGGGGCTTGAAAAATAAACCCGGTACAACAAGGCCAGCAGATGTAACACAATATATTCGCAAGAAACCAGGCTACCCGAATAATATTGTCATGACATACGCCCTTACGCAAAAGGCAAGTATAGGACCCCCGTTCACCCCTTCACAGCATGATACTCGCTGGCCCCTAATTCGGGGCCCTACCATAAGGAGCTTAGCTAACAAAGTTTAGCGCTTTTTTGTTTTGGTCAATCTTGTCCAGCGACATCCGGTCGAAGAGCTTGTTGCCGAATTGAAACGGAGAAAGACAATTTCGAAGGAGCAGGTCTTGCGAGAAAGTACGCGCCCGGAACTATCATTGACAGGGTCATTGCTAATGCTTTACAGTGAGGAATAAAGCTGGTGATTCAGATATTGTCGCCACGTCCAGTGTTATGTCGCTCAAGTGCCCTTTATCAACGCTCCGAATAGAGGTTCCCTGTCGTTCTGTAATTTGCACGCACAATCAATGTTTCGATGCATCCTCGTTTTTGCAACTCCAGGAACAGGCCCCAACTTGGTCGTGTCCTGTCTGTTCTAAAGCGACGAGTTTTGAATCGTTGCAGATTGACCAGTAAGACATAATCTCTTGGCTCGAATCTTTGTGCAGTTAGTGACATTTTATTACTTAGGTACGTCGATGATATACTTCGTTCAACTTCTCTTGATGTCGAACAAGTTATCATAGAGCCAGATGGTCAATGGTCTAGCCCCAACCAGGCAGACTCTGCCAAAGTGGGCGGATTTACTCCGGCGACAGATGATGACGATGAGTTGATCGAAATACGGGAACCCGGGGTTACGCCTATCAAGCGAGAGTCATTCCCACCTACATCTCTCTACGTACACCAAACACCTACTCAGTCCCGAGAACCCTCAGCAACGTCATCTGCAGCTTATTTGTCGACAAACAAGCGTAATGCTGCCCAGGTGATCGACCTTACAGGAAGTGATGAGGAGGATGACACTCCGGTCAGACCTGTAAAGCGGCCAGCGTTTAATCAGATGAACCGGCCCTCGTCTCAGCAGGATTTTTGCAACCCTTACAGCGGTGGCTATGTTGACGGAGACATCCAAGTACCCAGCCAGCCTAGTTCTGATTTTCTTAGTCATGCCGGTGGTTATGATGCACGCAGTTATTGAAGCATACTTGCATGGTGTTGGGCGCATTCGGTTTCATGGGTATATCCACTACGCGAATTCATTGGGAGCATTGGACAAAGCATAATAGGGAAACAATGTTCTTTCAACTTCGATGGCCAACGAACATTTAGATCCAATATTCGTTTCACCAAAAGCAAAACAAGAAAAAAAGCCATATCTATCGGTCTCACAACGTCGCTTACGGGGATCCCTACGTAGTTTGGGGAGCCCAAAAGTCTCGTTCGTAAATAATCCGCTGCGTTGAATCCTAGTGCTTCATTGCAGAAGAAAAGCACTCGTTATGCGGGCTTATTCATCAGAGTAAGGGGGCATGTCGGCATAACTAATTGGAAGGTACTTCGTAAGTAGATAGGGGCCGCTCCGTCGGAGCTTGCGATATGTCGGCGGTCACCATGCTTGGCTGGCCTACTCCGAGCCGCATAATCTCCGCAAAACAACAGGGTACAACAGTTATCTGCTATCACAAATTCGCCGAGTTCACTTTATTCGAGTCATCCAGACCATCTCACGATAATCAGGCTCCCCCACAAACGTGGCCACCGTAACACCTTTTACAATGTCGTTGGATGCACCGGCTTCATCCCTCAATGCTTCAGATCCACACGCGCGGCTCCTGGGTGCCTCATGCCTTGATTTCCTCCTCATAGAGCTCGTCCCTATGGCGGAGCGTTTAGCGAAGGAACTTGCTTCAGAAGATAAGCTACCAGATGATGAAGAAATCCGGGAAACTACATTCTTTCGCCTTGAATCTCTAGGTTACAGGGTTGGACAAGGGTTGGCTGAACGGTACGCTTGAAACCCCGCTATTTGAGTTTGCGACGTCTTTTCGGTCGTCCAAGTTATGCAACTATCTGCCGCAAGAGTGCGCATCAGTGAAACAGGATCACCGACAGACTCGCAGGTGTGCTATTGATCGAAGTCCCGCAGCTAACGCGTATCTGTTGTCCACCGGAGCAGATTCTCCCGCGATCGCCCACGATTCGCAGATAACCTGGATGTCATAAAGTTTTTGTGCAAGGACTTGTGGACGATACTATTTAAGAAGCAGGTGGATAACCTGAAAACGAATCACCGGGTAGGCAGAACCAAATGCGCTCTAAAATCCCTCTGAAGTGCCCTGGTTGGCTTTTTGGGGAGGCTAATACGTGCACTGTCAGGGCGTGTATGTCTTGACTGACAACTCATTTCGACCATTTGCAAGGATGAGTACATCTGTGCGAAGCGAGGCGGTGTCTATGGCTCAAGCGGTACGTTTGTCCTAAAGGATACATTCTTCCTAAAGGTCAGCCTTACATGATCTAACGACTTGCGGTATATCATAGTATCTATGGTTTCCATGCGGCGTTATTCGCGGTGCTCTATCAAACCTCGGTATTACAACCACTGTCCAGGCGGAATCTACAGAGCTTCCAGGTGCAACCTTTCAAATTAAAACCGTCAACCCCAAGCCCTGAAGCCGCTCATACATAGGCGGCTTTGAGCCTTATCCAGGCAGCCAACCGTACAATATGCGTTCATCACAGGAGGGCTTGGATGGCAATGACATGCAGCAATCCAGGGATCTCTGCTGGAGCTGCAATTCTCATCAACGGATTGCCGGATAATCCTACATTCAAGTGCGGGCATGAAGAATACAAGGTTTTATCATTTAAACAGGTCACTCGTATCTCGAAGTCATAAATCCTGAGCCAGAGCAATCCATCGACCAACGCCCGTCATCTGCAGAGTCACATAATTCAAAGCCTATCTCCCCAGGATAACAATGATTAGCAGGGCTCCTTCCATGTCCGTGAACTTGTGATGCAACCACCGAAAGATATCTCCCCGGTGGTAAAGAAGTGCGATATTGGCATATCACTTATTGATGATTGGGAATCCTGTGACTCAGGGACTGGGGTGGGCGCGTTTACTTTGGTGGAGGGTTCTTGATGAATTCGATTCCCTTTTCGATGTTGCCCTTCAAGCCCTCGGTGCAGGTCTTGATGAGCTTCTGTTCCTGCTCGGTCACGCCCTCAAGAACATTGATGGCCTTCTCAGCTCCGTTGGTCTGTTTTTATCTAGTCAGAGTGATGTCCGATATTCAAATATGATGTGATGAATGACTTACGCCAAGTTCTACAAGGGTAGAGAAGAAGTCCAGGCCGGTGGCCTTGGTAATCTCGTCACCGCCAGTGACACCAGGCAGATAGACAAAGGTAGGCTCGACGATACCAGACTGGCCTTGAGAAGCCTTGATAACGCTCTGAGCAAATCTTAATATGAGGTTAGCGCTGACACCAAAAGTTTGTAAATGAGGGACTCAAACCTGAAGCCAGCGTAGGCCATCGACAGGGTCGCGGAGCCGGCACCATCCTTGGCCTTGACAACCTCATCTCCACCGAACTGAACGCCTGCATATAGTTCAGTAAACATTTCAATCGCTAAGAGTCTGCGCAGTTCACTTACGGTTGACGAGCGCATCGTACTTGTCTGCGGGGATCTGGAAAGCGGGGGCTGCCTTGCTGAAGAGGGGAACAATAGTCTCTCCCGAGTGGCCACCGACAACTGGGATGCGCACAGCAGATGGGTCCTTGTGGCCTGAGTATTCCTGGACAAAGGTCTCCGCGCGGACAACATCCAGAGTGGTAACACCAAAGAGACGCTTAGGGTCAAAGACGCCAGCGGCCTTGAGGACCTCTGCGGCGATAGGAACAGTCGAATTGACAGGGTTGGAGATGATCAAAACAAATGCCTTGGGGCAGTACTCGGCGATGCCCTTGACCAGGTCGCGCACAATACCGGCGTTGATCTTGAACAGATCATCACGAGTCATTCCAGGCTTGCCTATTTACGGCAACTTTGTCAGTCAGAAGCACCTCGGAATATGAGAGGTGGTTCACTCACGGGGAATCCCAGCAGGGATGACAACAATGTCAGCACCGGTCAAGGCGTGCTTCAGTCCATCATCCTTAGGCAGAAATCCGGAAATTTTCTATCGACAATGTCAGAGGTAAAGCCAGATTGTTTGGTGGAGATAGGGAGGGGGTTGTGACACGGTCACACATACAGCAACAGAGGAGATGTGAGAAAGGTCGGCAGCGACACCGGGGGTGTTCACAACATCGTAGAGCGCGAGGTCGTCCACCAGGGGGCTTGTCTTAAGCAGGAGAGACAGAGGCTAATTGATCAGAAGCACATGGGCAGTCAGTAAAAGTTAAAAGAAAGTAACAGGCCTGCATCGCGGGCTGCAGTTCTGGTAGGAGCAAATGAGGGGCACGTACCTGGCCAATGCCACCAGATGCTCCAAGAACAGCTGTCGAAATGGATTTAGTCCGGGGTCGTTCTCGTTTTAGAAAGCGGGGTCAAAATGCAGGCGCCGTGAAGACCACTCACCCGCTTTAACCATTGTGATTTCTGAGAACTTCTCTTATGGTAATTGTGACAAATCTATACACAAAGGTGAAGAGGAGCACGCAAGATTAGTGTCGGTATCAAACAAAAGGGAGAGAGAGATGTTTGAGAGTGAAAGAGGAGAAGAAGTTTGGGAAGGAACTAGTAGGGAGGAGGGGGGGGAACACCCAGATGATAAAAAAAAAAAATAAACGAAATAACAGGGGGAGGGAGGGGAAGAGGGGGTGGAATTGGAAAGGGAGGGGTTTAGTTTGAGGAGGGGGCGGGGTGGTGTTGCTGCAGCTGGTGGTGGTGGTGGTGGTACGGTCACGGTGAACAGGTCGGGGCAAGTGGCAGCACAGGGATTAGGAAGGATCGGGGGATCACTGGCTCAATCCTAGGCTCATATCATACTTACTGATAGTATTTTCTTCCGGAGAGGAAAGAGAGAGAGAGAGAGAGAGAGAGAGAGAGAGAGAGAGAGAGAGAGATGATAATGGGCAAGAAACAATGAATAGATAGATAAGGAATATGTTAATGGGCAAGTTATTTCTCAATTCGCATCGACAGAGGGAGAAGCTTCCAGGACCATTATATACTACGGAAACCGGACGGAGGATCACATGTGGGGTTAACCATGAAGCTGTCTTGCTAACTAGACCACTGGACCACTGGGCTATGTCTCCAGTGACCGAGATCCAGCCCATCCGCGGGTGTCCCCCAAAGGGTGCCCGGGCCCCTCCCCAATACCATTGTTCCCCAAACATCCAGTCGCCTTTAGTCGTACACTCGGCAAGTCAGGAAGGCATATATGTACATAGTTACATACACCCCAGCGGGCATCAAGTCAAGTGGAGTTATTACTCATTTCTACGGAACCCATCCCCTAATTATGCTCCATCCAGTAGTACATGATATACTTCACCATCAAGCATGTAGTTCCCGCAAGCTGACTTGTGCTTAATCAAGGCCAAAGCACCTCATCACTACCATTACAAACCTTCCCCGGGTCCATGTGGAACAAAGTCATCAGGCACACGCCAAATCTTTCCTCCGTAGTCCGGACATTCTATCTTTGCCTTGAGAGCGGGTTGTTGCTTCCGGTTCACGGTTGCTTAGTCACTTCTGGAGTCGTTCAGATTCATCCCTCGGATGTAGTCCTCCCCCATAAATCGCCGCCCCAGATTCCGGCAATTCTCGTCGACTCCTTCGTTCCAGAGTCCACACGAAGGAATATACCGGTTTGACCGGGGATTCCATCAAGGTTTCGGGAAAAGGCGGATATCAAACTTGTCTCACGGTAACTTTGCGGTTAGATACGTGCTTACGACATCGGTTCTACATTCTACTTCGGCCCGACAGGCGGCAATAAACAGTCTACCAAAATATGGCCAGGGGACATCACAGGCAGTTGCAAGCGGAAGGCTGATTGTTTTCCCGTCAGTCCGATTGTTACCACTTGTGTTCAAAATTGAAGATGGTAATTCTTCCATTTCCCCATTCATTTTGTTGTTGTTGTTGTTGAATTTCCCAAGATTTTTTTTTTTGGTTTCCATTCTGAATGGCCTGGCCGGAGAACAATGCCCCCCCTGGTAGCAGTATTGCTAAATTACATAGATGTTTACCGCCCTTGGCCAGCACGGCGCTTTTCTGGTCGATCATCCCAACCAGCTCTCATGACATCATGCCTCCTGGCCCTTCCCGAAAAGAGATAGTTGGCATTTACTCCGACTTCTCCTCGGCCTTTCTGGCCTTAGCACCACGGGGCTTCTGGGCGGGAGTCTCCTTCTTAGCCTTCTGGGAGCGACGGATGGCGCTGACACGGGCGACGGCATCCTCACGGACATCAGCACGGTAGCCGTTCTTGGCAGTCTTGTCGGCAACACCCTTGTAGATCCTATGCGAGAGCAGTATCAGCAAACTGTCGCGCCTCCCTCACAGAAATCACAGCACGCCAACTGCTCATATCGACTTACTTGCGGGTGGAGGCGTTAGGGCCGTAGGTCACGGTAACGACGTTCTTGGCAGGCTGCTGGGGGTTGCTGGGCTTCTTGGTGATGACAGCAACACCGCCGTTCTCGGTGGCCTGGACACCAACCGCCTGTAATTGCAGAGTTAAACATCCAATCCCCAACGGAAAAAATCTCTATGACATGAAGCGCGGGTAAAGTACCTTGGTGTTGGCATAGCCGGCGTACTAAACAGGTGATTCGACATTAGCACGAAAACATAACCCAGACCTTATGTCCAGGGTCCGTACCTTGAAAGAGTGCTTGTTCTGCAGGTTCAGGGGGTCACGGGAGAACTGAGAACCACCGCCGCTGTTACGCTTGACCAGATAAGCATTCTGGGTGCCTGTTGAGGTAGTCGTAACATTAGCCGGAGAAGACGAGGCGCGAAACGGCTCCTAGCGTTTCCATTGGGATAAAATATGCGTAGGAAGGTGCTAGTGACGTACGGGTGAGCTGCCAGATGAGGTCGCTGGAAACGTTGGCGGCCATTGTGAATGTCTCTTTCGAAGCTTGGGTGGGGGATGAGGACAGTTCCAAATCGTCGCAAGTCCGTTCGGTATATACCAGCTACGACTTAATATCTAGCCCTTAGAAGGTTTCAGTTGTGTGTGCAAGCGCCAAGAATTCCAACGCTGAGAGCCTCGCTAAGCGGGCCGCTTTGGGAATAGACCCATTTGGTAAGGCGGTTCGTTAGATGCCCGTGAGTGCTGCCTGAGAACGGGGGCCGCCGCCTGTCGTTCCAGCCGCGTCCGCGCCCTCGACCCACTTACACCTTCCGCGCTCTTCCATATGCGTACACTTAGGTATGACCCGACTGTCTATCATTGTTGTCTAAATGCCTCCTAAGTAGCAGGCTCTGGCAAAACGCCGGCCAGACTCGAATACTGTATATCGCTTATCCCTGTGAATGGTCTTATTCTTGTCGCTCTAGGGGAATTGAAGCCTGACTCCCCGCTGCGCTACGCTTTCATCTACCTATCTAGCCTAATCCCCGCTGCTGTTTAGCAGCGCCTGGTAACCCTCGTTGACCATGGCTTACTACCTTCTCTACTTCCTCACCATATCGGTTGTTGTGTGTGGCACAGGTATGTGAAGCTTCCAGCCTCTCAATCTTGCAAGTCATCCAAGCCTTCCTTCCTGACCTGCCTTTAGCGCTCTACCTCACCCGGTCCCGATGGCTACATCTACTGCCCGTTCCCGACTACATTTACGATCGTCTCCCCTCGACGTTTGCTGGCGATGTGGAAGCTGGTCTGGTCTCATCCGAGTTTGATATCTCCGCCAATATTGCCGAGGGTGACACCAGGGCGGGCTTGGATGATCAGGCCAAACGTGAAATCTTACGGATCATGAAACGGCGAAGAGTGGATTTCAACGAAGGTCGTCGGATCTACATGGAGCAGCGCTTTTCCAAAAACAATATCGGTCCTGATGGCCGACCTAGGGACCCAAAGTTCGTGTCGTTTTCTTGATGACATTTGCATCACAGTCGCTTGGTTTCACTTTGCCCTCGTTCTTTTTCCTATTTTCCTTTGACATATGCTTCTCACCAGCAGACTCTCCTCTACTTATACCCTTCCCTTTACTGAATAATATCAACAAGACTCCTTTGCAGCGTGTAGAGTATGTTTACTATTGCCGTCGAAATTTAGTGTTGGCCTCCCTGCTTGAAGATTGACTTGATATCTTGTGTTCAACTCTAATTCATGACTTCGTGGATCACTGCTGGCAACTAACTCTCAGTTACCATACATGGGGCATCTGGAATGCTGTAGTGTTTCAATTTTTGTATTCATTGCTACCACTCAGCATAAATGAGATATCGAGAACTGTGGACATCAGGTTTGATTATTCAGACACATTCCTCCTTGTTGAACGTTAATGCTGATTGGCATGTCAATCTTGCAATGTGTAACAAGCGGATATGTCAGTTTTATCCCGTGAGTTGAGGCATCTTGAGCCGTTCATTATCGGGCGCGGTTTGTATTCTTCCGTAGGGCATTAACAGCTACTCGGTTGTGGGTCGTTACATCAAGTCGAGTATTTATCATCCGACGATCCAAGTAATGGTTGACAATGATGGAATTGTTCTTTTAAGTACCACCTCGTCTTCGGTTCAAGCCAAGGTAATTGACCTAGGATGCTCAGCGCCCGCGCCCATAGCCAGGTTGCTGGAATCCCGGGGGCAACGGAGGTGGAGGACCAGGAGTTCCTGCCGGTGAACCGAACCCTGGGGGAGCGAAGCCTGGCGGAGGTGCTGCTTGAGGGAAGGGAGGTTGTTGACCAGCACCATTGAATCCCGGTGGGAGGAAAGACTGCGGCCCCCCATATCCGGCCTGAGAAGGCGGCGGCCGTGCTGGTAAACCGGGGGGTGGGTTCGCCAGAGAAGCAGGAGGTGGAACAGGTCGGCTTGCTTGTGGAGGAGGTACGTTTTGGAACGGTACATTCGGAGGAGCCATGCCTCTGCCCATATTAAGGTCCGGTGGATTAGTACTCATTGGCCGAGAGCTGTCACCATTGGCCATCGCAGCAGGCACCATAGGTGTCCCTGGGTTGGAGAATTGAGGAGGTAGCGGCTGGGTCGGCGGGCGCACGTTATGTTTGCGAGCCTGTGCTGCCAGCATTCGTTCTGCTTCATCACCGTGGCGTTCACCTTTCCCATCCTTCTTATAGGCGTATTGCACGGAGACCTGCTTGTTCATGAGATATTGCCCGTTCATGTTGGTTATGGCCGCGTCTGAAGACTCGAAGTCGGCAAAAGACACAAATCCATAGCCCTTTGACAGATTGTTATCATCTCGCGCAATCTATGTAGCAGCAATTGTTAGTAAATTACTCGAAAGCCACGGTGCCGCATGACACTCCTATAGCAGGGACGAAGAGATCCTACCTTGGGAATATTGACCAAGTTTCCAAAGCGGCTGAACGTATCATAAAGAACTTGTTCCGTAACCATGGGATCAAGATTGCCGACGAATAGCTCTGCTCCAATCTCCACCGACTTTTGCTTGTCGGCCGATGCTTTGTTGACGCGGATGGGCTTTCCATACAAGCGGATTCCGTTCATGATTCGCGACGCGTATTCAGCATCTTCCTCGCTGATGAATTCCACGAATCCGTAGCCTTGATGCGACTGTGTGACTCGATCTTTGGGTAGGTGAACGTTAACGATGCGCCCGGCCTGCAGCATCAGCTCCCATACCAGGCTATCTGTGACCCGTTCATCGAGGTTTCCGATGTAGACGGTGGCCTCTTTGTCTTGCTCCCTATTCCAACAATTGTAAGTACCGGCATTATGAGGATGTATATCCAGATGGAGTGAAGAGAAGCACTTACCAATGCCTTGCGCCGGACATAGCGCCTAGGTATTACTCTTGAAGAGCCCCCTCGACTGGATGAAAGCGAATGAACAGGAACAGAAAGATGGGGGAGGCGTTTGAATCAGCTAGAAGGAGACTACAAGTTGACAAGAAAGAATTGGGTAGTCAGGATATGTTGAGAGGTCAATGAAGGTACTGGGAGCACAAGGGCTGGAAGGATGATCGCTGGAGACTCGGACTCCAGGTTATCGGCGGAGCTTTTACTGATCCAACTTTAGCCCCGGAAAACTTTGAGCTTCACCTCCTCCGTCTTTCCCGTCACTCCGTCACTCCGTCAACCCTTCCGCCTTTCCCAATCTCAAGTTTACGGACATCAACAGCAGGGAAATTCTCGTGTTTATTATCACAGCCTTTGTGCAAGTCTAAACCGGCAATATGGTTCAGTTCTCCGAGGAAACCAAGGTTAGTCTGCGGTGCTCTGTTGCACGTCCTACATAACTAGTCACGCTTGATCTCGTTATGCTAACGGATATGCCTTTTATCTAGGAGCGTATCTCCAAGGTCATTGACGTCTCCAGAGTTGCCATTCACTAGTTCGTCGCATCTTGATCCTTTCGACCAATGTGTCCTGACCAAAGCTGACGGTTATGTTTGCATAAGTGGATACCTGCCGTTGATTGTCTATCTCGGTACGTGTGGTGGAATTATTTTTCGATGGACTTGTCGGGGACCTTTATGATGGAAGTTTCGTTGCTAACGGATATGGAATAGGATACACTTACAGTGAACCCAAGCCTTCTCTGTTCAAGTATGAGCGACTGCGCCTTGCCGACGCTTCCCTACGATTTCAACCCACTAACGCTACATATAGGCTGTTCTCGCCGCTCGCCTAGAGGAATGAGTTGCTTCAGAATACGGAAACGATGAATGTCCATCCACCAGACACATGCAACGCCTGAAATCTCCCTCTGCAGTTTAGACAGACAAATAAGACTGCCTGTCGGAATACTAGCGGATTCTGAGAAACCTCTTTCATCTCAACCCCTCGGGTCGATGTTGACAACTGGAAGTCTACATCGATGCGCAAACTACGATCAGTTTTCATGCTTTGTATTGGTTAACGCGAATGTTTTAATTTCATATACAGGTCCAGGGCAGGACCGAGGATACCATGCAAAGGGTTTCCGGAAGACTACATTAATAAAGACTTGCGTAAGCTCAACCGATGCACTTTGAAGCAGACTCCAGATCCAAAGACTAGGATATATGATCTTGTTTCTTGTAGTGAATAGTCGTAGAAAAGGTCTCTTCAGAAGTATCCGGTTGTTTCCCTCGGACATTTGGGGCGCTTCGGCCCGCCAAGCGCATTGAACTCGACTCTTAGCTCCAGCTCAGATCTTTGGCCAAAAGAATTCCGGACCGAATCCGGACTTCTTCAATCCTCCCGACACTTCCGGCTAGAATCTCAAACCCCTGCAAGCGGCACATTCCAGGAGGACTTGAAGGGTTAATGACTGGCAAGGATGGCTTGTCCTCGTCCTTTGTGGAGACCGTAGCGGGATTCACGGCCGGAATCGCTTCGACGCTCTGTCTGCATCCGCTAGATCTGATCAAGACCCGGCTTCAAGGTTAGTGTTTCATCTCTCCGGGGAAAAAAGACGAGACGTGGAGCGCGGATCAATCACGAATGTCAAATCAGTATTGAAGCTATGGCTGACGTAGTATCAATCTGCTATATCGTCTTCTAGTCGACCGATTATCCTCTTCGCGTGTCGGCGGTTCAGTCCCAGTAATCCGCGAGATCTTCCAGAATGAGGGCGGCATCAAAGCCTTCTACAGAGGTCTGACACCCAACATAGTTGGGAATTCCACAAGTTGGGCGCTGTACTTCTTGTGCTACGGCAACATCAAGGATGTAATGCGCACCTGGCGCAGTGGTTATGAAGACCAGGCCCTCACCTCGGCCGACTACTTCCTAGCCTCAGGATCTGCAGGTACGCTCCCGAAGCAAAAAGGAAACAGACCTGCGATGTCTTTTCCCCCCAAGAAAGCACCGATCAGGCAGTTCTGAAACGGCAGATTAGGCTAATTTGCGGAATTATGATTCTCACAGGGATGTTGACGTCCGCGCTAACCAATCCGATCTGGGTGATAAAAACCCGCATGCTGTCGACAGGATCTCAGAGCCCCGGAGCATACGCGTCGTTCACAACGGGAGCAAAGGAGATTCTTCGCTCGGAGGGTATTGCGGGCTTTTATCGAGGCTTGGTTCCAGCTCTGTTTGGAGTCAGCCATGGCGCACTTCAATTCATGGCCTACGAGCAATTGAAATTGTATCGCTCCCGCATGGCTCCTCCGGCCGGAACAACTGGCATTCAACGAGATGCTGGTTCGAGTCATGTGTCGTCGCTGTCATCGGACGCGGCCCGGTCGAGGATACGGGAGCTGGGAAATGTAGACTTATTCGTGATCTCCAGCTTGTCGAAACTGTTCGCCGGGTGTGTTACCTATCCGTATCAGGTGTTGCGGTCTCGCTTGCAGACATACGACGCTCACCTCGTGTATTCGGGCGTCAGGGATGCCGTTGCTCAGATTTGGGCCAGAGAAGGTATCACTGGCTTCTACAAGGGCCTTGGCCCCAATTTGCTGCGCGTGTTGCCCAGTACGTGGGTCACTTTCCTGGTGTATGAAAATACCAGAGCGTACCTACCAGGGTTATTATCCAACCTTTGATAGAGAGGAATTTGTTGCCTTTTCCGCGCGGAAAGCGGAGGCAACTACGTCTACCTATCGGACATATGTCACAGCTGCTCAGATCTCGCATCCGCCGGCTCGTGTGCAGGTTGTACCTTGTACCTTATATGATCTTTGTGTGTATATATGCGTTAAGGCTCCTGTCGCCTGCAATCAATAATGTCTATTTGCCAGGAATTGGCATGTATTATATTTGGAGTTGTAGGGGTTGTAGTATAATCATATATATCAACATGTTGAGAACCAGAACGTACTAAACGGGCTTTACCCGCCACAGGGATATATGTCCAGAAAAGAAAGAAAAGAGAAGGGGGAACCACGCTGATGTACATAAGAAGAGTCTTCAGGCCGAACGAAACATCTGGGAAGGCCCTATTCCAGGCGAACATCATATTCAACATGATATGCGGGTTATATGAGGCAAAACGAAATAAACACGAACGAGACTGGTATCGTAGTAACAAATGAGGGCAATGTAAATGATGCGACAAGATTCTAAAAATGTGGAGAAAGCCGGTATGGTATGTCAATGAGCCTGCCTCTCAATGTAATAAGGTTCTGCGTCGTCATCATCGCTGCTAGAACCCCCGTTATACATAGATGTATCTTCATAGCTTGCTCGGCGCATCTTGTCATCATTGCTGCTGAGAGGCTGGATCCTTCTGCGGGAGTCGGAGCCGGGATCAGACCGTGAAGTAGGCGAGATCCTGCGATCTTTCCCACGCCCCTTGATTCCTTTGTTGCTGTTCTTGTACAATGTAGCGAAGTATTCCCAGAGCTTCCTGTCTTGTGGGCTCATGTGATCTCCCTCTGTCACTTGTGAGAATCTTAAAGTAAGATTTCGTAGGGTTGTGGCATGGAACTTGTTCTGGTGTGACTGTTATACTAGTCAGCTACTATTGAAGGTGTTGGTTTCAGGGTTGAAGATTATTGGTCTCCGCACCTTGAGATTTCCAAGCTGGGTAAATTGCTTTCCGCAGTCATCCAGGAGACAAGTGAAAGGTTTGGCATGTTGATGTGTAATCTTATGAGCACGAACGTTGCCTCGTTGAGCGAATCGTTTCTGACATATATCACAGGAAAATGGCTTTTCCCCAGTATGGCGTCGTTGATGAGTCTAATTACCAATTGTCTCCGTTAGAGAATCTGCAACATCTTCGATGGCGTTGAAGCTCTCTTTATAGGAAATTATCTTGGGGAACATTCCATGACTTACCTTCAGATTACCCAACTGAGAGAAGCGCTGTCCACATGATGGCTCTTTGCACACCTTTTCGTAAAATATTAGTGTCATATCTCAAAAATTCTCGATTCTTATGCCACCTACAAAGGGCTTGTCCCCCGTGTGAGCCCGCATATGAATATCCAGGTGCGTCTTCTGCGCGAAGCTCTTGCCGCACTGTGGTAAAGTGCAAGCATACTTGCGCTTTTTGCCTGATCTCGATGGAGCCTCTTCGACCATAACAGTGCACCTTGAGGTCGTCACTGGCATCGTATAACTCTGAGGGTATCCGGTGCTTCCCCCGTGTGTCAACTGTTGCAGTGGTGGCAGAGACTGCACTCCCGGTGACTGAGCACTGGCTTTGGCCTGAATTGCCTTCATCAAGATATCTACCTCCGTGGAGAACTCAACCTCGTTGGAGCTGGAGCTCTTCTCCTGTGCACCTCCTTCGTTACTCGAGGACTGGGCTCCGAGAGGTTGTTGTGAGCCCCCGTTGTGCTCGACCTTCATTAAAGGATCCCTGGCTACCCGGTTAACGGCATTTTTGGCCGGCCGAATATCGGGAATTTGCTGGATGGATGGTGGTTCAGAGGATAGACGGACCGGCTGGGGGTTAATCGGTTGCTGGCCGGCGACGAAATAATGCTGGTAGCCCGGATGATGGTGGTGATGATGGTGGTGGTGGTTGAGTGTGTGTCCGAAGCTATACGCAGGGGACGACGATTGATGGAATGGAAGCGTATAGCCACCAGTCGGATTGGTATAAAATGGAAAGTTGTGGCCGACATTCGAGCCCATCATTCGACGAGGCGCAACCGCCCCAACAGCATGACCGGGAAATTCGTATGACACTGGTTCTGCAGTTTCCATCTCGACAAAATGGCGATAATAGGGTTGCTGGACTTTGCGTTCTCTCCACCACAGGGCCCCAAAGCGCCTTTATCTCCTGCTGAGCTGATTGCAAGCGGTTGGAGAGCAAGATGAGCGAGGGAACAGAGACAGTCAGATGGACCGATGAGAAGAACAGGATACTGCCTGCTATCACGTCTCAGTAACCCATCTACAATATTTGAAGCTATCTTCGCGGGGTAAGTCGTATTGAGTTGGAAGACTTGACACTCACCCACTTTCTTCGAAAGACAGAGCCTAGACTGCTTGTTGATAATGACACAAAACAAGGGAAGGTTATGATGAAGTGAAGAAGCAAACAGGTCGGGAACAAGCAAATAAAATATATAGGGTATCAAGTCAAGATCAAGATCAAGATCTCAAAAAGCAAACATCAGCATCAGCAATGGAATTTGAGTTCCCCACAAGCTGAGCGTGTCCCTGAAGGAAGAACCGACCAGAGTGGCTCCAGATGTATATAAGCTCTTGAGTAGGGCAAGAAAGAAGAGTGGAGAGAGGGACAATGGATTGTAGCCGGCAGTCGCAACGAGGTGGGCTATGACATTGATTTTGACAATGGGGGATCACCAATAAGCAAATATATGGCTTGATTCTTCAGCCTGTCTTCTTGGGTAAGGTTTATTCGGCTTTTTATTAATTTCCTTTTTTTTTTTTTTTTTTTTTTTTTTTTTTTTTTTTTTTTTTTTTTGCCCTTCTCTTTTCCTCTCTCTGTGTGTATTTCCCTTATATTGTTCGGGCCGTCTTGATTCCCTTCTAATTAATTGCTCTTTAGTTTATTTGTTGAATCGGGAGAAGAGAAAAGAAATATGAAATAAGAAAGAAGAGTAGGGAAGAAAACAACACGAATAACAAAAATAATATATCTTCTAATTTGCATTGGTTAGTTTCCTTGGACCCTCCGGAAAGATTGAGGTCGGTGATCTAGAACTAAACTACTACTAGATATACATCGCTAGCCATTCATCCACCCTCCCTTTCTCGGTGTCCCAGAGCAGTGGAAGCAGCGGGGTGGCCAGTGACAGGGATCTGGCCTGCTAGTTTAGTTGGTGCTAAGCAAGCTGAAGGCTTGTACGCACCAGAATAGGAAAAGTAACAGGCAGCTGAGGTATGGGGGTGGTTTCTTTTCTTGAATCGGGGGGTGGGTGTGGATAGGCATGTATGACTATGTATCATCGTATGAATGTATGGAGTGGTATTTAGTACATTTACGTATTGGATGTATGGATGTACGACAGCACTTGTCATGGATGTATTGGATCTCAATACGAAGCCTCTCGGGGAAAAAAAAAGGGGGAGGCAAATGATGAATGACTGAATGAATGACAGGCTAATGACGATACCATTTGGATATGAGAAATACATCGGAGTTAGGATAATAGTCATCGGGAATTATGTTCTCTCTCTCTCTCTCTCTCTCTCTCTCTCTCTTTTGCAAAATGCTCACGGTAAGACCGCTCCCATCAGTAGTATGTCTAGTTTCCAAAACAAAACCCCCATCCAGTCACCGAAATTTAGGTGCAAGCCGCAAAGTTCACAGTAGGTTATTTTCCACTCGTCTCGTCATGCATTTTGTGATTGATTGACGGAGCTGAATGCAATTATTCTGAATCGCGGTTGCCCCATCCATGTACATTGCAGTCCCGAACACCCAAGCCACCAGAGAAGGCTGACACATCTTACTCGAGTCCCACGAAGTTCCATCTGGTCCCTTTTTCTCTAAGCGGAGAATGGGGCGATAAATTACTAGTTCCGTCGACAATCATACTCCTCCTCTTCCCATTATACGAGGAGGTCCATAGAAAAACTCATTTTTTATTTTATTTTATTTATTTTTCTTTCCCGCGAGAGTACCGATTTAGATGGGGATCCATGGATGCTCTCCCGGGGGGATCGGGGTCCACTCGGTTTTTGGGGTGGCCCTTCAGTCCAATCGCGGAAGGCTTAAAGACCTTCCGATCGGGCTGACAGTCACGCACCACATGGATGGTACGAAGAGAATACATACTGTTTACTAGGTATTGATCGCCCGTAGTAATCAGGACTAATGCACTTTGTGCTGCCGACTCATTTTACCTAAGGTATGATGAAACCCTTCATATATCTTTTATCCTATACACGCATAATAGAAACGAGTGGCGCCTCCTTACTACTATTCAGCTCCCCTGTCACAGTACGAATATAAATAGTCTACCGGGGTAAACTCCCATATTTACACACTACCAAGACATCAGATTCAACTGGTATGATTGAGAGTTTCGGTATCCCTAATTAGTAGTAATCAGCATCAGAGCGGATAAGCATGACGAGGCAACCATAAGTAGAGCTGGCAATGCCGCCACCATCTTCTAGATAGGAGAGAAGAATGGCAGAAGCCCAGGCTACCATAAGCATGGAATGCGAACTCGTAATTGACATCCCACAAACCACGAGTAGTCATATCATCTGACCCAGGAGGTTGGGCCAAGGGCATTGACCTCGACTAATTCAAAGAGCGAGTGGAGTAGGCGCTTTTCTTCTGACACCTGTTAGATAGAGCTGATGTAGTACCTGACTAGTATTCCCCATGTCCGAACTCGATGATCAGCTACTAGATGTCGTCTCTGGCTGATTACGGTAGGAAAGGGAGGGGAGAGAATAGTGCCGTACATCGCTCTTACTCGGGGAACTAATGCTGCTCGACACAGCTCCATTACCATTCTCGTATCATTTATGGCTGTCAGCCAGTTACTTACTAGCTGCTAGTGAAACAACCAGGATACCCTCGTCACCCACGCAGGCACCTGAGCTGTTGGGAATCATTTCAGCAAATAGGAGGCGGTTTCATACCGGACAACCTTGCCGGTCGAAGGATCTTCATCGTCACCTGAATGGATGTAGATCTTTACGACTGGACCTCGTTGCCCATGGGGGTTCGCCCATGGATCCGTGAGCAAAGAGAGCCACTAACCGGCCCTAAGGCTCCCTCAAAACTTACCCGCATCCAAGCTTAATAGAGCAAAGGATTTGGGGTTGCCTATGTACGAACTACATGATCCCAGTACCCTGCACCAAAACTAAGGGGTACTTTAGGGGATGATAGTACGGCTGTCGGTCGTTTGGTTATACGCGCCGTGGGATTTCCGCGGCTGCGAGGCATGGAAAAACCCATCCCACTGATATCGCTATTCGGTTGCAGGAGCAAGCGGTAATTTTCATCCTGGATGCTGGTTCGCTGCCGGGGCGCCCGAGAACTCCGATGACGGGCTTAGGTAGGAGAGAGAGTAAGTAGGTACTAGTAAGTACGTACTATTATTATGTATCGAAGGAACTGGCTGAGCTGAATCGTCCTCCATTCATCCTTATTGACAGTAGAATGTGGCACACACACACACACACACACACACACACACACACACACACACACATCTACCTGCCTTAGCGGCAAGTAAATAACAACTAGTTGTACCTTATGCCATTGATCTTGCCTACTTGATCACATTGTCTTCAATAAACCTTTCCGTCAATAAGGTGTGAGATTCAATGTGATGGTGGACATGAATGAAGTTATTCGACTTTTTACTACACTGGTCTTTAGAAAGACAAGACAAAAGCATTGAAATAAGAAAGATAAAATAAAAATTAAGAATTAAAAATAGTAATCTAAATTTCAAAAGGGCTATATCTGCGGGAAGGGAGACGTGACATGATAATACCTCAGTACTTCTGGTCAGGCGAGGGAAAGCATGACAGGGTTCGCCCGGCAGAGCTACACAACGGACCGCTCGCGGGCGATCAATAGTGTAGCAATCGCCAGCCGCTCATTTGCTGTCAAGCCCCCACTGTCGCCCACCTCTACTTGGCGTGGATGTGCCTCACTCTTGCAACAGCCGCGTCTGGCGACTTGGAAATCCCAACACATCCCCCGCTCGTCCTACCGTACTGATAGATTGGCCCGGTAACCTAGTCTTACTGGTCGTTAGTTGGTCAGGATGAAGGCTAAGAACCTTACAAGAATTCCAACTGATGGGTATGATCCGGAGTAAAACATCATCGGGAACGTAAAAGATCTCAATGGCTGATGGCCCCAAACACATCTTGGCCAGTCCAGCAGGACCTCTTCCTGTCTTATCAGAAAGGTAGACACCAATGAGGTCCAGTTGTCTTCCCCCCATCCATGACCCACCCCACTCTGACTCTTTTCTTAGCACCGAATGCTGCATCCTCTGAATTTCTTTATGAAATACCATGTACTTCTGTACTCTGTATGCTTTTACCCCTGAAAAAGTGGGTTCATCTCCAGGTCGAAACATGCAAGACTCTTTTGCGCGTTGGTGCTGATGGATGGATGGCTGACAAGAACAGTAACTTTGGTACCAATATTGTATTAGACTCACACAGTCGCTGACCACAGAAATGTTGGCTATAGCTCTAGCTTTTTCTTTCTGTTGGTATCTTTCTTTCTCTCTCAGATCTACCTCGCTTTCCTCGTTTCAGTTCAGGCAAACCTAGTAGTATTGGGGCGAGTAAGGTTAGAAAAATAGGGAACATGCTAATGTGGGTACTAGGCAGGTAACTAGCTACACTAAGGTAGTGCAGACTGTGTAGTGCCTGACGTATCAATTATCTTGGCCAGTGCTTTCTGTATTCATTACGAGATTGTATTCTAACAATTTCAAAATGCAATTGTCGTCCCAAAAGCCCGATGTCGACAGACTGTGTCCGATCACTGATTGCACTATCTGCCTTTTTCCTTGATTCTGTGTAACATTGAATCCTCTGGCATGACTGGACACTGAAGTTTCACTGCTCAGGTCTGATGGAGCACGCCCTGCTGTCATTGAACGATCAATCAATCGGGTCTAGAGCTGCTGAACAAGAATTTTTTTTTCTTTCCTTACGGAAGGATTACACTGACTTGATGTATAACTATACGCGGGATGAAAGGGATGAAGATGAATTATCTGAATTAAATTATGAATTCAAGTTCAAACAAAGGGGTAAAGGAAAAATTGTGGGTTAGATACATATGACGATGATGAATAAAGAACTGAATGTACTCTGAAGGCGAGACTTTTTTCCTTATCCTTACCTGTCTGTTGCTGTGACGGGCCGGGCCTTCATCTCGGAACCGCTCAAACTCAGCCATGACCCGTGGATCTTACAGGTGACGGACAGTTCCATTCCATCGCCCAACCTCTTTAGGTCACGCTAATTCTATGAGGCAAAATTTTTGACTTGGTTACTGATCCCAACTCAAGATGGTCTTGAGATAGGTGAGGCCTCTGAGAAATCACTCCGTGCTCCAGCTGAACCGTGCTCCTCCACATCGAGGGGATGCTGGGGCCAAAGAGCCATACAAATTAACTACTCCATACCATGTAAGTAAAACTCCTATTCCCGGCCTCATCGATCGTGGACAGCGACCACTGCGTTCCCGACATTGTGGGCCCGAGGGCCAAGGATTCCCCTAGTGAGGATCTATTGGATTAGACTGCGGCAAAGTTCAAACCTATTCTTACATACAGTAACCTTACTGCACGGGCTGTAGGTACCAGCCAGCCAGACAGACATACCTACATAAGCAGACATATTTGTGGATATCAGAACTACAATCTTTTTTCTACCCCAAAGGAAAAAGAAAGAAAAAAAAGAAAGTGTCTATAATTATGAATGGTAACTAAGAACTAAAAATTCAAAACTATAAAATATTACAAACGGAAGAAAAAGAAAATTACTATCCGTCGCGTGTTTGGATCGGGTGAAGGGTGTGGTGACTCGCACATCCATAGGCGACAGCAGCTGATCCACAACGATCGAATCTCAAACATGGGATCTAAGGAGATGCGAAAGCTGACAGTCATGAGATGTATCACATTTGCGGTTTCACGCAGTGTCGAGGAGAAGAAAGTGAGATAATCGGTGACATCATAGGAACAACCATTAGTCGGTTTTTACTATACGGATGTGTCTTTACATGTTGAAGATTTATTTATTCATGGTCTTTTTCCTGGTAATCAGCATATGTTCGGGGTTTGTTGTTTCTTTTGCACGCAGACAGTAATCATATATATACTAGGTACTTACTCATATTGCTCTCTAGTCTCTAGATGTCCATTTTCGTGAAGACCCGAAATCATCAGGTATGGTTCATGCACGGTCTGCATGTATGTACCATGATGATACAGATTACATATTGTGTCAACACTAAACACAGCAGCTTAGCTCAGGCCAGTCTAGAGCTAGCCGAACCTGACCTTTTCCGGATTCGTGAGGACTACGGAGTAGTTTAGTTACCTACATAGTAGATACTAGGCAGGCATGCACAAATAAGTTTAGTCGTGATGATCCACCCTGTTACATCGGCATTCAATCCTCTCATGGTATTCAACAGCTTCTAAAGACAGCCTCAGTGTCTGTCTGCTTGATCCATTTTCCCCATCATGCACAACAAGGAGTTTTCTATATTCTAAGATTTGCTATTCCGTAATGATCAGATCTATTCTAGCAACGCTCATATCATTGAGGAGATGCTGAGTGCCCAACTGTTAATCATTTTCGGTTCCAAGAGAAAGTCAGGAGAAGACATTGGTGCTAATTATACTGCATGACCGCCGATTTCTTGATAAACAATATCATTAAATGATTTATTACTTGATTCTCATAATCCCAATCTGTACTTCTTATCGAGGATGCACAAGGAGCTCGTACAAGTTGAAATCTCGCCAAGCCACACCAACCCTGTTTCACCTTTTTTCCTCCCCTTCTTCCCGAGCGAGATCCGCCAGTCGATCATCACGGCTCCTGCTCGGGAAAAAGAAATGAGGGAAAGGAGAGCCTGGGAGCAAAAGTCAGATTTGACACCCCACGGCGATATAGGCGCCGGCTGGTGCCTGCTCGCAGCACGTAAGGCATGATGTAGGTCGACTGCCCAATGCACCAGCCTCTTCACCACCTCGTGATCGCAGGGGGGCTACTTGTCAGAAGATGCAGGAGAGAAAATCGCATCCGATCAATAGTGCCGGCTAGCACTGCCCGGGTCTGTGACGAACAAAAGCCGATTGAAAGTCGGTTCGACTCGTACCGCGACGGTACCTGATAATGTCACATTTGTGACCATGGTTTTGACTTGACATGACTTATGGAGAGTGCTCTTTTTGAAATTACTTGTTCACAAATGCTTCGGCTTTATTTTTCATTACTATGTTTCAGATCAAAAGAGTGAATGATTGAGTATAGAAAGAGAGAGAGAGAAATATATATATATATATATATGAAGGCCTTATTTCAATATAGACTTATCCAATTGCATGGGGGTCTGTGCTTTTCTGTTCACGTACTTCAGTTTGCTGTGTTGAGAGGCAATTGACTAGATAGTTACTACTACCGGCTTTGGGGGGGGGAAACAATGAAAACTTGGTCTGTTAAATACGAGCTTACTTACTTTACCACTAAGGTTACGTGACATTATCCCCGAGGAAGGAAGGAACCATTCGGCCACACCGCATGGACTGGAAAATCAGGAACGGAGCACCTAACGGGGCAGTGGAGCAGGTGCGATGGATCCCCGGAATCGACACAGTAATTCTCTACTTTTAGTCACTTGTTAAATGACTAGTTATTGACTAATCTACTAACTAATCCACAGTAGGTATCACTACTAACTGACTAGTAGTAGCTAGTTATGTCTGTGCCCTCGCAATTACTCCTATAACTAATCTCACCTGCTGGGTTGTCTCATGCCAATGCAGCATGTCAGTTCCCATCACACCGCGGGCATAGCCTAGGCAGTAGCCTTTCTCCGGGGGCCCTTGCCGAGCCTCGTTTATGTCGATTTCGACGGACACTGCGAGTGGGAGCAGTCTCAAAAAAGCTCACAGGGAGGATCCATATAGTTGGAGGATCGTCATCCGCAGGCAGACCATCCAGAGCTCCTCCCCCCCACTTGTGTTTTCAACCAACTACGTATTCCTACACTGAGGACGATGGAGTACAGCCCTGGTTGATCGTGACTTCAACCGAATACTGTCCGGGATCTACCTGTCTTGCTTGCCCTTAAACCACTGAAGCCATGCCGAATCCACACCTCGTACTCACTGCCTCTAAGGGAATTGTGCGTATGTGCGCAAGACGACAAGATACACAGGCAGAGCATGACCATGGCGATGCACCATTTTGATCGGAACAGTTGCAAGCTGTTACCATTCACAATGCAGTATAGTATGTACAAGAGTTTTTCTGTGCTGATCTGACCGTCTTGATGTTTGCCAATTGAATTCCATATGTCTTTGTGGTTGACACAGACCCAGGAATCCTTGCCACATCTCAACACTGAACTCTATTTAGCTCATGACGGAAGCCTGTGATTTCCCTTTAGTGGCGGCGGCTACGCAAATGCCTTATTAAAGTCCGGTGCACCTGCTGTGTTTAGCCTTCCCGGAAAAAGTCCGTGGACCTGGCCAACTAGGCAGGTAATCGATCTCGCTTTAGACCCATAGATTCACCGAGTGGATTCCCTACGGACCACGGAGTTTATATATTCTCAATATGTATGTCCAATGCAATGTACGCCGCTACTGCAGTCATTCATAATGTGAGGACATAGGTCCGTGACCAACTCAACAACCTGCATCTACTACTGATGCTAGTTCAACCCCGAGAAACTGCATGGCAGCCTATGCCCCTTAGTGACGGCGCTGCCGGTCCTTTTTTCTGGATGCCCAATATAAGCATTGATCTATGGGTATGCATTCATACGCACTGTGATCGAATAGTGGTGCCGACTACAGAACTCACCCCCCCGCAACGTGCAGGTGCCCGTCACGGGGACTGCGGATATCTCGATTGAAGGGTGATCTTACGGGGATAGGTAACCAACGGAGCACATCCCTGTGCTCTCCGATGTCTACTTTGTTGTCGCCGGTCAATCGTACGGACTATGAAGTCAACTGAAGAACGGGGAGGGTGACTAGTCTTTCAGCCGACTACAATATGCCGCAGTCAACAAGCCCTCTGGATTGTCGTCATTTCTGCGCGATGGCAACCGCTAAGGAAGCGCCTGCACCCCTACCGATCATCACACTGCTCTCGTGACAATTGCATTCAGCTTCCTCAGAATAAATTCACAACCACGTAATCAGCGCAAAATTACTACCAGTACAGCCTTTTTATCGTGCTTCGTTTTCTTCCTCTTTTTTTGTTTCGCTTCGCTTGTAGCATTTCGTCTCCTTTGGAAAGGAAAAAAAAAAACCCCAGGGTCACTTCCCCGTGCATGGAGTTGTGACAATAAAGCAATTGGCCTTTTGCAACGCAAATCCCGGTAGTGACGTCGAACAAGACGCGGCACGCAGACAAAATCGGAAACGGGAGATTCGAAAAGAAGAAACATAATTCCATAATTGCGCCAAAGCTTTCCCAAATCATTCACATCACCGTCCAGTGTATGTAGAGTATCTGTTCGGAGCGACCTTGTCAACAATGTTCATGATAGAGGAGAAGAAAACAGAAAGCCACCAGGACGATGAACGCCTTGTAGGCCAGTAGGAACGTACCTCCAGATTCTTGCCCGCATGTCACCACTACCAGTGGCAAACAGGTTATTAGTAGGGCTGGGCGCCACGGAGATGACTGTTACTGAGTTAGCAAAAGCCAAGATCACCTGGCAAGAGACATAGTGCTCGGAGGTTTTAGGTACGCACCTGAGTTCTTGTGTCCCTGGAGCATCATCTGCGCATTTCCGGTGACGGGGTCCCAGAATTGAACGCCCCGGTCTTTAGAACCACTCATGACCCAATGTCCGTCGGGAGTCAGGCAGACGCTGAGCACAAAGTCCTAATCCATGAGGTCAGCAACCACGAAACGAGTATTGGCCTTTTGCTAACGGAGAGTATGTATTTACCTTGTGACCTTCAAAAGTGCGGACGCATTTACCACCCTTAACTCCGCTTCCGGGGTAGGCGCCACGGGGCACGTTGAGCTCCCAAAGTTTGATTGTCTTGTCCAGACTACCACTGACGAGGTCCCGGCCGTTGGGGGCGAAGGCAACCGAGTACACGCTGTCCTTGTGTCCATCGGGGCTCTCCAACCGTTCCACAAGGTAGCCGGTAGTGGTATCCCAAACACGCACGCTCTTGTCGAGAGAGCCTGCGGCGACGTAGTGACCATCTGGGGACATAGCCACGGTGGTCACACCGTCTTCGATGCTCAGGGTGTAGACCAACTTGCCATCCAGGATATCCCAAAGGCGGACAGTCTTGTCTCCACTACCGGACGCAATGTACCGACCATTGCCAGCGAAGTCAAGAGAGTAGATATCCTGCTCGTGACCGGTAAAGATATGCTTGATCGTCCGGGCATTGATGTCCCAAACCTAACGGTAAGAAAAGAGGGAAAAAGGGTTAGCTGCGAAATCATTCGAATAACAGCGCACCAAAGCGGGGCATCAAGAATGCTAGTGATGTTAAAGCAGGACCACGTACCCGAATCTGCTTGTCTTCTGCACCAGTCGCAAGATACTTGCCGTCAGGGCTGAAGCAGACGCTGCGGATGTAAAGGTCGCCGTTCTTGTCCACATTCTCATCCTGCAGTGTCGCAACGTTCTGACCCGTGGTCACATCGAAGATCTGCGCGGAGCGATTGCAGCCGGTCGCAAGGTACTTGCCGTCACGGCTGAAACGAACACAGCAGACAACGCTGTCATGGACAAGGTGATGAACAAGTTCCACATCCAGCACGCGCTGCACCTCGGGATTGAACACGGCGTACCAATCGGCACCCTCTCGCTTCTGTGACGCCGGCAGATCGTCAGGATTCCAGTTGGCCAGCATGTTTCCCGGACGATCTCGCACGAGAGCCTGGCTAGGAGGCGTGGGGCGGGCCAATTGCGGCGAGGAGACACGGGGATCAGATGTGTAGGCCAGCTGGTGGGTCTGTTGAGGAGTGGCCGGACCGGGAGGAGCACGGGGCCGCTTGCCAGGGCCGGGGGAGGCAGCAGGAGGAGGGGGAGGTCCATAACCTGTTTAGAGATCGAGGCGATCACAATGTCAGAGGTCAGGCAATCTGTCTTTCAAACATAGTCATAACATACCGTTCACAGCAGCACCAGGCTGATATCCTCCAAAAGAGCTCTGCGGTGGTTGCGGCGCTCCTTGCTGGGCCGCGGCAGCAGGCTGTTGAAGGGTATGCTGGGGAGGCTGCTGATCCTGGGGAGGGGGAGGGGCAACTGGAAGACCGGGGCCACTACCTCCTTGGTTGGTCATGATGCCACCAAACAGATTGCTAGGGCCGTGACCCAGGGCCGGTGGCGGGGCCTGAGAAGGTCCAGCGTGCTGGGCCGGGCCGGTAATGTGAGATGACACGGGCTGAACACCACGCGATTCAAGCTCGTGTCGCAGCACCCGAATCTCTGCTTCGTAACTACAATGATGGATAAGTCGTTAGTACGGCTATGAGGTAGGATGAGCTGCCGCAGGCCAAGTAACGTACTCTTGTTTCATCTTGAGTTGTGCTTGTTCCAGTTGATAGACCTTCTGGCGGATCATCTCCATCTCTTGAAGCTGCCCGGTTACTAGGGGTGGTAGAAACCAAGCGTCAGCAGAATACACCAAAGGGGGAGATGACAATAACAATAATGACTCTGGGCGACACAAGGTGCTCTCCATTGCATTAAAACTCCGGAGTTCACCCGTACGCCGCTGACCTGCGCCACAAGGTGAAACCCGACGGAAACGCGCCGTGACAAGCAAAATTCTCGTCGCAAAGCCAATCCAAATAGCACAGGGACCAAGGAAATAACAAAACATACGCTGATGTTCAAACTCGCCAGTGCTTCGAGACTGATTCTCGAATTCCTGGCGCAGTTGGTCCAACAACTCCGTCAGACGGGAGTTGGGAGCCGGAACCATTCCGCGATGAGTATTATACATAGCGCGAAATGTTTGTGTTGTTATTATCCCGTGTTCGCTTGGGCAACAATAGAGGGATAGACAATCCGAACAACGAGACGTAGGAACGAAAGTCGCTTAGGCGGAAAGTCAGTGGTTGTGGTGGGGGGGGGAATGGTTGGTGGTCGACCGAAGGGATAAGTAGTTCAACGGCAAGAGTAATCCGCGACTCCGGGAAAAAAGAAGAAGATATGGGCGACGGGAGTCGCTGTTAGGCGACAGAGACTGGTGTGAGGAAATCGATCACCGCAGCCGCATCACAGCGCGCCCCTGAGGACTCGGCGCGGCAACGTGGTCGGAAAGGGGAAAACAGTAGAAGAAAATGGAAGGGAAGTATGTTGAATGGGGATAATTGCGCGTGGACGACGATCCGGGGCGGACGATGGATGAAAGGCGAGACGATAAAGGGACGACAAGGGAAGAGGGGGGGAGGAGCAGAAGCTGAGGCTGAAGGAGGAGGAGAGCGAGATGAAGTGACAGTTGAAGGTCCGTTCAGTTCAGGTTCGAGTTCGTTAGTCTTTCTTAGGTAAGGTTCCTCCGGGTCACGCTCGGCTGTTCCGGGTCCGGAGAACCACCACCGCCCAATGGACGTGCCCGCTTTGCCGCCCGAAGCGAGTCCCAAGTAGGCCAGACATTGAAGTATAGTCTACTTCGTACATACTATATATCAAAATTAAAAGTAACATTTTGAGGTATAAATATATACTCCTATTTGTTTCGTAGTTATAGGTTTGAAAAGACTCACAATTGACACTCTGGTTCCCACTATCTCCTGGGAATAAAGCTAATTGACTCAATGTCGAGACTGAAAAGAAGGGACGGCGCTTAAGTGTGACCGTATTGAACATAGACTTCTCACCTAAATGCAGTCATAGCCGCCACAATACTGCAACAATACAGAAAGTGTGCAACTTGAACATATGTTACTAAACCATATCATCCCGTGACCTTATCAGATCTGCCGGAATTGCGGATGTAGTTTACTCCCCAACTGGAAATACACGTTGGAACCTTTTTTTTTTCCTTTTCCCCTTCTGCGGTTGTATTTTTCTTGGGAAGGGGATAAGGAACACAATAAACTAATACTACCTAGTACTATTCAAGAATCCCACTTAAGTCGCTGATAGAACACTCTACAGTTTACTTATATTATAGATCTAATCACTATGATTAGGTAGATGTAGACAACTATACATTACTCAGTAGTAGACCATCTCCACCCTTTTCATAACAAATCAGACGGAACGGCAGGCCTCGTTCCGCCTGGTGTGATCCTCACGGCCATCTGATAGGCTCCTCCTCCACCAAATCGCAGATGAGTGCCATTCTGCAAATTATATTACTTAACTTCTTCTTCACCTTCTTCTCATCTTCTTTACCCCTTCCTTTCTTCTAACTATTCTTCTTCTCCTCGCCAATTTTACATTCTTTCATTTCCCTCCCCCCTTAAACCCCCGCCCAAATTGCCCAACCTAAAAAGTAGTACTTACCAACAACCACTACTGGCTGGCACTTCAATCATTTTTTAACCTACTCTCCTCCTTCCCCCTTTCCTCCCCCCGCGAACCATCCGGACTCTCCCCCGATTCCTCAACACCTTGTTCCGCATACCACCCTTATAATATTGTATTCTCACACGCTCAAATCCGGGCACCATGGATATCGCCCTCGAAATCTGGGACACCTTCATTGGTGATCGCCTCTACGCCTCTCTTCTCCCTCTATCTCTTGCCTCATCCGCCTCGCTCCCCGGCTTCACTACCGTCACCAACAGCACCCTGTCGTTCTTTGGCGCAACCCAGCCCTTTGTCTACGAACCGGCTACTCAATTGATTTACTTGGAGCCTTCCAAGTTTGCCTATTTGAGCGCCTGGCCAAGGAACAATATTTATCGTCAGTTCCTTTCTTTCTTCTTGATCGTCTGGTATGTCCACTTGCCTTCTTTTCTCGGGTGTTCGTCACCTTCCAATCTTTCCTTCGGCTAACTGTGTGGGCGCATTATGTGCGCCTTGATCAGGATTTTCGGTATCATCGTCTACTTCATTTCCGCAAGCCTTTCCTACATCTTCATCTGGGATAAGACCACCGTTCACCACCCTAAGTACCTCAAGAACCAAATCCCTATGGAAATCGCCCAGACTATGCGCTCAATGCCGGTTATGTCCTTGTTGACTGCCCCTTTTCTGGTTGCCGAAGTCCGTGGCTACGCCAAGCTCTATGATACCTTCTCCGAAGAGCCATTCCCCTACTACAGTATTTTGCAATTCCCGCTATTCATCATGTTCACCGACCTCTGCATCTACTGGATTCACCGCGGCCTGCACCACCCGCTTATTTATAAGACCTTGCACAAGCCTCACCACAAGTGGATTATGCCTAGTCCCTTCGCCTCCCACGCCTTTCACCCGCTTGACGGCTGGTCGCAGAGTGTCCCCTACCACGTATTCCCGTTCATCTTCCCACTTCAGAAACTGGCCTACGTCTTCCTCTTCGGGTTCATCAACCTCTGGACCGTGCTGATTCACGACGGCGAGTACGTTGCCAATAGCCCAGTGATCAACGGAGCGGCCTGCCACACCATGCACCACCTGTACTTCAACTACAATTATGGCCAGTTCACAACTCTCTGGGATCGTCTGGGCGGTAGCTATCGCAAGCCCAACGAGGAGCTCTTCCGCCGCGACACAAAGAATGGCGAAGAGGAGTGGAAGCGACAGACCAAGGAGATGGAAACCATTCTCAAGGATGTCGAAGGCGACGATGACCGGGCGTACCTGGCTGATTCTCAGACCAAGAAGAACCTGTGAATGTGGGAATCATGACCAGTCACTAAGGGATCTGTTCTCAACCTCACAGGTCCATGGAGATTATCTCTGTTTCCCGGGCCCAGACTTCACATAATGAGTTCATGGCTTCTCCCTATTTCTTGACCTTCTCACGCTACGCCGCCCTGACTACGTCTTGTATAACACGGATCCTAGTATATTAATTGTTCCAGCCCCCTTTATAGACGTGTATATTAATTCAACCTCGAGTCACTGGTTATGCCCCTGCTTGTGAAGGAACACCGGAACCGTACCGGCCAGTTGTCTGTTTGGTTCGTCCATTTCTTGTTTTCTTTTTGCTTTGTACATATATATGATCGATCAGCGGAAAGGGGAGCGGAGATTTCAACATTACATTTTAATCTAAAAATTCACTGCATTACGTTATTAATACATATCCTTGTACGTATGTATAGGTGTAGATACAACACCTCTTAGTTGACGAAGACAGCAGGGAAGTACTACCAAGAAACTCATGTTAGTAGAACATCACAAGAAGAATCAGTGAACTAAAACAATTCCTTATTTTTTCTTTTCTCCTCTTTAGTGGTTATATTAGACTCTTTTTTATTTTTAGTTTGAACGCCCTCACCCGCTGAAATTGGTCGAGATAAAACAAGTGCCACAACCTAACTTATGTATGTATACAGAAGAGCGAAGAGGAAAATGGAAAGAAATCCTGGAGTTGAAAATTGAAGGTCTCCTCCAAGTATATCTGATCCGATTACAGCCTAATCAAAGCTTCCACGCTCATTCGATGTCCACGCTCGCATCGGCTTCAGCGATATCCATTTCCCCATCTGCGGGGATACTTTCCGAAGCGCCAGTCTCTTCCAGGGCCGGAGGGGGAGCGACCGTGCCGACAGGAGTAGCTGTGGCCATGGCGTCCGCAATGAAAGATTCCTCGACGCCGGCTTTCCTGCGGAACACTCTGAGCCAGCGCTGGCCCCATTGCCGGATGATTTCATCCTCGGGCAAGTTTCCACTTCCGTCTCCTCTTTCCATCTGCTCGTCGTTGCTTCCGCCGGCCACTGATACGATGGAGTCTTCGATGACCTTGAAAAGAGATTGCATATCAACCTTCTCACGACTGAGCGTCTCATCGAGGACACTGAGCTGCGGCTCGTAAAGACCCGGCTGAGTACGTGCGGCAACAATCTGGCGCATGCGGTTGGTGACCTTTCCAACAGTGGCGGAGATCATCTCGAAGATGTGGGACTTGGCAAGAACGGTTCCTGCCTCTAGCTTGTCCACCAACGCCCATTCAATGACTGACAGTGGGGTCAAGATGGTGTAATTGAGAAGCTTGTCAATGATGTTGATTCCGACGCCGGGCTGGTCGACCCAATACTCCATGACGGAGGTTATAATCTGGCGCCTCGCCTGTGCAGACTGGGGTCCGATGGCCAGGAGTCGTTCCTTGTTCCGTTCAATGCAGGACAGTACATGAGACAGAGACTTGGAGCCAACAAAGCAAATAGCCGTAACGAAGGCATCAGTTGAAGGCAGCAGCGGGTCTTCGACACCGAGAGATCTGGCTTGCTCTTCAATTGCGTTGATAAAAGGCTGGATCTCCTCGTCGCTAGCCTTCTTACGGACCAGTTGCATGATTTCTCTGCCTTCATTCGCATACGGAGTAGCTGAATGAAACATGAATTAGTCAATCGTTTTGAATCCCAGCCAAAGTCGAGTTTGTAAATAGGAGTGACTGAGAAGAGTGGACCTGAAGCGAAGGGAAAAACTTACTATCAGACGAGTACTTGAAATCGGGAGTGTCTTTCTCTTTTCCTTCCGTGATCAAGTCTTGGTATGGGTCAGGGAGAGTGCCCCTGATACGCTGTGCAAAGCTCAGCCGGATCTCCTTGTCAAGGGCGCCGTTAATAAAGGCCATCCGGGGGTGAACGAGAGGCAGCTCCAAGTCATCAATCCTGAGCCATTGTTAGCCGATCTGCACTGCATTCTGCCTGCTCATGAGCCTTACCATTCACTCCATTTCCAAGTGAACCCAAAGTTGCTCAAGTGATGAGAGAACCAATCCAAGAATCGATGGCTTAGATCCAAATCCATTGTCTCTAGGCTGCGATACAAGAAACGGATTGCACGTCCTAAGCTCGGTGCGATAGCGGCCGGGGCTATCTTACAGCACTCCGTGAGAACCGAGTGGTAGTAAACCAGTTTGTGCTCGGGAGACGGCAGCTGGAATAGTTGAGAAAACACGGCGTCCACAGCAACATCCTCGGGTTTCCAGAGATTGATGTCTCCCGGTAGATCGCGCAGCCTATCAAAAGGAGTCGCCCGCTTCACGAAGGTGTGTGGAGTAAAATAGCAGTCGACATCAATCAAGAACTTCGCCGTCGCAATGCGGTTGAAATCAAGAATGTTGATGGTGTCGACAAGGGCATCACGCAGCAAGGAAGATGCGATATCTGAAGTAGGAGGGACTGTTTCCATGTCTTGATTCGCGTACACGGAAAGGTACGCCTCAGGGAAAATTGCCCTTGTTCCATTCTTCACCGGACTCGGAACGGTGATCTGAGGGAATGCATGCTTTGGCTCGTTTTCATAAGTCTTCGGCTCTGCGCCATTTTCTTGCGATTCT